TAAATCCTAAGGCTGTAAATGCACAAATTCCTTACCCAATTCCTTTACGTAACAAATGTTCAATAAATACTTACTGAATTGAGTTAAAAATGTATTCTGATTATAGTTTCATCTAGACTCTCCCAAGTACAGAACTATAAAAATGTCCAGGTCAGGCCTATGATACAGAACTCATCATTAGCCCCCTTTCTTTGGAATACTAGTTTCTGCCAATCCCATTAACAACTATTGGATAATACTCCCTTACTTAGTACCTCACACTAGCCATTTGTGATCAGTTTTTGACTGATCTATGTATGCTATATTAGGAGCATTATCTAGGCCCTGATTACCCTTTTAAGTGATTTGAGCATTAGATCCATATCATGCTATTATCTCCATTCCTACTCTTTGCTGATCTACATTTTTATCACATGCCTGTGGTTCATGTGGCCCAAGAAAAAGGACAATGATTTATCCTGAAGAAGCAATGGCTGGCAGCTTGCCTGCTTGTGTTATATTCCTATTCTACGTGTCCTTGGAATCCAGTGCAAATTGTGCTTAAAAGTGCATTAAGTCCTTAAAGTGACTGGTTTTCTGGATAAAGGAGTTGTGGGTATAATCATATCCTTTATCATATAACCAAAGTCTGCCAAGCTTACTAGGTCAGAAGGAGTCTGTGTGTATGTGTGTGTGTGTGTGTGTGTGTGTGTGTGTGTGTGTGTATGTGTGTGTGATATACACACACATCTTTTCTTACTAGTATAGCTGAGTCCTTATGATCCTGTGTTTGTTTCTGTCACATGGCTTTTTGTTTTTGTAATGAGCTGTTAACAAGCTCCAACAGATTTATGGTTGCTCAATATAGTTCTGTGAACATGCTTTACAATTATAACAAATTCTTAGGGGAGTAGCTACAGAAGGACTGCTTACTCATTGTACCTGCGTTCAATTTACATGTCCACAGCAATTTTTTTTTAAAGATAACTAAAAAGAAATGGTGTCATATTACATAAAGATAACTATTCTGGAGAGGGTTTTGTTATTTCATCTTTGGAATGCTAAAAATTAAATGGTTCAATTGTTTTATGAATATGGATTTAACTTTGAGTATTTAATGGCAATGTCTACACAACAGAAAATATATGGACAAAACATTATCTATCCAAAAATCATTCACACATCCAGATATTCCTGAGGCCAACATCTTGAGACTTAAAAACATCTGTATGATTGAGTGAACTTTTTTCATCTGAATATTTGGTATCGCACAGCTACAATCTAAATTACTTTGGCCCCTATCAGTAGTGGTGGCAATTAACAGATACAGAAGTTGAATTATGAGTCTTGCCACTGAACAATATTAAGAATCATACAAAGAAAATCACCACTAGGAAAGCAAGTGGTTTAATTTGAAGTTGTGTTTTAAATTATCAAGAAACATCCTTGTGTAATGACCTGAAGGATTATTTGAAAACCACTGTGTTTGAACTATAGCACTAGAAAAAGATCAATAGTTTTTTTTAATGCTGATTCAGTTGTGTTCTTGTTTTTAAAAAACATATGGAAGTATTTTCCTGCAGGGCTCAGGTTGAATAAAACCCCAAGTGAATGTATAAATCTAAATTTTGAAAGATGAAATTTACACAAGTGCTGCTAGCAAGATTTTAACCACTGGTACATAGTTTTATGTATTCATCCATTTAAAGTAAATAAGTACCCATAAAATCCCCCAAATCCACAATTAAATATCATAATGTGCATTAAAAAGCACTCTGGAAAGCTATGTAGGAAAGAGAAATAATAGTCTTCAGTGACTTCTTATTGCCTCCAGGATAAAATAATTCCTCTACAATTTGGCTATAGCCTTCTTTTACAGACTTTTCCAAATTACTCCATTTCACACTTTCTGCATTGCAACAAAACTGGACTACTAGCTGTTCCCAGAATTTGGCTTTCATCTCATATTTCCATACTTGGTACTGCATTCAACTCTCACCTCTATGCATTTGCATACCCATATCCCTATTCCTAGAATATACTTTCCCCTTATCTCTGCTTCTCTGAATCTTAATCTGAATCTTCCTTAAAGGTTTAGGTTCTTCCTCCAGGAAATCTTTCTGATATCCCTAATTTATGAATATACTCTACTTCCTCGAATTATCTATATTTACTTATTTATATACATATGCATGTGTACACTATCTACATATCCTCCTTTCCCCTCCTGTTGCTGCTTCACCTTCCAAACTAGACCTCTGGGCTCCATGCCAAGGAGGAATTGCATCACTGTTCTCTGAATTTCTGTTTCTATTCACCTCATCCATTTTTCTGCCCTGCCGTACCTCCTACATAACCTGTCCTGCCGTCTCCTTTTTGCTACCATTGCTCTAAGATCTATAATCAAATTAAAACTACAATTGCTTCTGAAAAGGGCTTATTCCACTCAACGTCCCAGAACAAAACATCCTTCTCTTTTCAGCATTCCCCATATATTTTGTCTCCCCCCTATTAGAATGTAAGCTTCTTGAGAGCAGGAGGTATCTCACTTTTGAATATATTTTCCTAGCTCTTAACACCGTGTTTGGTACACAGTAAGAATTTAAAATAAGCTTTTTTTTTTTCATTTTCCCCACCTCAAATATAAGCTTCTTAAAGTCAAAGTCTATCTTGGTTTTACTTTGCATCCTCAGTACCTAGTATGTGCCTTGCATGTAGTTGGTATACATGTTAAAATTAAATTTAACATTTATTAAATGCCTGTTGTGTGCAAAGTAGTACTATGCCAAGAGATGGAAGAGATCCATAATTTGGATAAATCAATTAAGTAAGCATTTAAATATTCCTAATATGTGCTATGTGCTAGGGATATAAAGATAAAAATAGACTTTGCCTTTGAAGGAATTAAATTACCTTGAAAATCCCACAATCTTTGGTTGTAGAAGACACCAACAGAAATAACTGATATAAAATTCTTTAGTACCTCAGAGTTCTTGGATCTTTCTCCACTTGTGCAAATCATTATCATCGTAATAGTTTGCATTTATTATACCTAGAGTGCTTTACAGATATAATTTTATTTGATCCTCACAACTCTGGGAAGTAGATGCTATTATTATCCCCTCAGCAGGCAGCAGTTAAGTGACTTACCCAGGGTCATATAGTAAATGATGAGGTAAGATTTGAATATAGGTCTTCCTGACTCCAGATCCCAAACTCCTTCCATAACAGCTTGTATTCCTGAGTTTTAGGACACCAGGGTAATATTATGTGCTTGCTTATTTCACTTATTCCACTTCTACTTTTCTGTGTACTTCCATATGTTTGTACTGCATTCATCTCCCACCTCAGTACTTAATAGCTTATTGCTTTATAATATAATTTGAAGCCTGATAATGCCCAATATTCATCTGAACCTGAAAAAAATAGCGTTTTTAAGACTGTCATTCGACTATAACCATAGACTTACTTATTTTAATTTTTCCAGCATTATGTTCAGATCCATAGTTTCCTTCTTGCTTTTTTTCCCATTATATAGATCCAGTTTTAAAATAGGAATTATTCTTGGAATAATTGGAAATTTGGAAGTACTGGAAACTTGGAGAATCAGAATTATTCTAGTCTTACATTCTAGGTCTTTTTCACATTAGATTTTCATCCAAGTACCTTTCTTGCTATGCTACTTGAGGTATATGTATATGTACATATATATGTGTTTGAGATATATATGTATATACATACATACATATACATATATACAAATATACATATTCAATGTTGGTCTTTGTTTTACCATCTATAATGCCTTTAAACATAATGTTATTTATCTGTTTGTCTATTTTGACTATAGATATAGATATTAATGATATAAATATAGTTAGACAGAAACAAATAGAGATCTGTTATCATTTATCATTAAAGTGCAGTGTGGCCTTTGTGAGGTACAATTCCACCTCTGATTGATAGGGGAGCTTTGACCTACTCTGTTTCCAACCTGGAGTAGTTTTTGATGATTCTATTTTTTAATGAAAAAAATCAATGAAAAACATTAATATTTCAGGATTCCTCATACTTCCTATAGAAATAAAAATGAAGGGATGTTGTAAAAAGGAAGCACTGAATTTGGATTCAGAGGGTGTTGAATCCTTATTCAGATATATAGTACCTGTATGAACTTTGGGCAAGTTGCTTCTTTCTGTGGGCCCTTAATTTCTGCATCTGTAAAATGAAAAGCAAGGACAAGATCTCCTTGGACTTTTATACCTACATCCATTTACCTGGGGAAGACTTATACATAAACTCGATTTTTGAAAATCAAATTTTATTTTGATTGTTTGAGGAGTTATTTTTTAATTAAAGGGAATGCTATTGTATGCAATGTAATTCTTGTGTATATGAATAATCCTCCTTGCTTTATCCTTCCTATTGGCTTGAATTTTTGTTTAGAGTTTAACTAAAAGGTAAGCAATGACTTGGGGTCACTAATTATAGCAGCCTATGAAATTCACAAGGTATTTTTCTGATGGAAAAGTTAGCTATTTCACAATACAATAGAGACCTATCATTGGAAAACCACTTACATCGCTAAAGTTCTTAACGAAAGACTTGCATATAATAGGTGCTCAGTAAAGGCTGGTCAAGCAAATGAATAACACAGTATAAAGCAATTTCAAAATAACCTTTTCCTCAGTGCTAACCACTTTGTCAGGTCTCTTTTAGACAATAAATATCATATCACTAAAAAAAATGCCATAACTAATAGCATCATTCTAAGAATTACGTGGTTTGCTTCCCTCCTAATACAAAGTCACAGACTGCTTAATGCAATTATTCTTTGTGAATGACAGCTGTTCTGCTGTTCCTGTAATTTCCCATGTACATGCCTGAAAGGTAATATCAATTACAATTAAGGAGGAAAATTATTTTGGGTAACTGATGATACTTGACAAAAACTCTTGTAAATACAGCATTACCATGAAATCTTGTTAAACTTTTGTTTTTCTGTGTTGATTTTTTTTAAGGTGCAAACTGTGAAATGGAAATTGATGACTGTTTGTCACAGCCTTGCCTAAATGGTGGCACCTGTCAGGATTCTGTGGGGCGCTATTTCTGTGGCTGTGCCTTTGGATTCCGTGGTGAACACTGTGAAATCAACATCGACGAGTGTTACAGTCGTCCATGCCTTAATAAAGGGCGGTGCATTGATGGTATCTATAGGTAGGTACTTATCTGCAATGGGGCGAATATCTCAGAATGTACCTGGTGACCAAGTAGTCCCACTTAAGTTGGTATAAAAGGCTCTAATATCTACTCAGAGCTGGGAGTACACATAATTTTAAGTTGCCAAAAATTCTATTCAATTCAATTGGCATTTATAAAGCATTTAATTAATGATTTTGAATTGGAAGTAGTGTGGTACAGTGGAAAGAAAACTGACTCTGTCTGAAATCAGAGCTCCTGGGTTCAAATCCCACCTCTAACACTTACTACATGAATGACCCTGGGTGAGTAATTTAAATACCACAGGCTTCAGTTTGCTCATCAGCAAAATGAGAGGATTGAATTAGATGGCCTCTGAGGTGCTTTCTTGCCATTTATACTCAGTGCCTCTAAATCTTCTCCTTTCATTTTCTTCTAAACCCTCTGCAATCTTCCTTCTAACTTCACCATTCAACTGAAACTGCTCTCTCCAAAATTGCCAATGATATTTTTTAATTGCCAGAGTTCATATTTCTTGACCTCTCTGCAGCATTTGACTCTGCTGATCACCTAGTCCTCTTTGATACTTTTTTCTCTCTAGAGTTTTATGATATTGCTTTCTCCTGATTCCCCACCAGTCTCTGTCCACTCCTTTTTTAAAAATATTATTTTTCATTGATATATTTTTACATCAACAAAATTTCCCCCAGTTTCAGTCCTTCTCCTGTGTCTAGAGAGCCATCTAATATGACTAATAATAATCTGTAAAGAGACAAAGAAAAAGAAGGACAAATTTGGCAAAAGTTATTAAGACATTGAAAAAGTCTGAAAATATGTGCAACGTACCATATATGTGAACCTCTCACCTCTATAAAGGGCTGGGGAAGGAAGAGGTGTCTTCATATATTTCCTTCTTGGAGCCAGGCTTCTTTTTAATTTCTAAACATTCACTTTTGATTGCTTTATGGTCATTTTTCCATTTATGTTGTTATAGTCATTGTGTATGTTGTTTTATTAGCACTGCTTATTTCTCTCTGCATCAGTTCATGTAAATATTTCCATGTTCCTCAGTATTCATCACATTGTGTTTTTTGTTTTTTGTTTTTTTTTTACAGAACAGTAATATTCCAATAGATTCATACACCACAGTTTGTTTAGACATTCCCCAATTGATGGGCATCCACTTTGTTTCTAATAATTTGCTATCACAAAAAGTGCTACTATAAATATTTTGGTGTATGTGGAGACTTTATTCTTGTCAATGACCTTTTTAGTGTATAAACCTGGTAGTGGATTCTCTGAGTCAGAGTTCAGACATTTTACTCACTTTATTTGCATAATTTGGAGTTGTTTGAAATGGTTATATTGATTTACAGTTCCAACGATGCACTAAGGAACCTATCTTCACACAAACTCTCCAACATTAACTATTCCTATTTTTTGGTCATCTTTGCCATTTTGCAGGATGTGAGGAAAAATCTCAGGGTTGTTTTGATTTATATCTCTCCCATTATCCATCAATTGGAGCATATTTTCCACATATTGTTAATAGTTTACAATTCTTTTGAGAGCTGTTCATATCCTTTGACTACTGATCTAATGGGAAGTGACTCTTGATCATATATGTGTGTGCATGTGTGTGTATTATATGTATATGTGTATTACATGTATTATAGTCATGTATATATACACATACATATCTACACACACAGATCTACATGTGTGTATGTATCTTATATAGAGTTTATATAGCTCAAATACCAAACCTTATCGGAAAAATTTGGCATAAATCTGTTCCCATTCTGCCACTTCCCTTTATATACTAGGTGCATTGATTATGTATATATAGGAACTTTTCAGTTTATTGTAATCAAAGTTATCTAGCTTATATTTCCTAAATGCTTTGATCCCTTGTTTGGTTAAAAGCACATCTCTAAAACATAGCTATGAAAGGTATATGATCTACTTTTCTAATTTTTTTATCCATATGATATTTAATATTAAGGTCACAGATCCATTAAGAATGTGTTGTGGATTATGATGACCACTCCTCAGTCTCCTTTATTGGTTCTTCACATATGTCATGCTCAGTAACTATGGGTGCCCCACCAGACTCTGTTCTGGGCCCTCTTCTCTTTTCACTATATACTATATCACTTGGTGATCTCATCAGCTCCCATGGGTTCAGTGATCATCTCCATGTAGATTATTCCCAGATCTATATATCCAGTCTTAATCTTTCTAATTAGCTGCATTCCTACATCACCAACTGCCTCTTGGACATCTTAAAATGGATGTCCTATAGGTACTTACTTAGGCTCTCAACTGCAATGTTGTCCTTGGCTACTCATTCACATTCACACTACATATCCAATGCATTGCCAAATCTTATCATTTCTACCTTCACAACAACTTTTCTATCAGTCTTCTTTGTATGCTCATATAACCACCACTCTTGTTCAGGCCCTTATCACCTCTTTCATGGACTATTTCAGTAGCTTTCCAATTAGTCTCCTTGTTTCAAGTCTCTCCCCCTCCAGTCTATGCACCACTTAGCTATCCAAATGATTTTTCTAGAGCATGGATCCTACCATATTACTCCATGCTCAATAAGCTCCAATGACTCCCTCTCATCAATATGATCAAATACATGGAAATATATTTCATCTATTCATATATTATATATATATATGCACACACACACATACACACATATATATACATATATATGGGTGTGTATATGTATGTGTATAGTATGTGTATATATTATATATGTATACATAGTTATTTATGTATCTCTCCCATTAAACTCTGAGCTCCTTGAGAGCAGGGACTATCTCTTGACTTTCTTTGTATCTCTAGCACTTAGCTCAGTGCCAAGCACTCAGCAGGAGCTTAATAAATGTTTATTTTAACTTTCATGATTCTCCCCAAACCCAGGTGCTAATAACTTCTGCTTTCAGATTACCTTCCATCTACTCTGTAAATATATATTTATATATATATATGTAATATGTACCTAGTTATTTGCGTGTTGTCTTCCAATAGAATGTACATCTTTCTTTGAACCCCCACACTTCACACAGTGCCTAGCACATGTTGTTTTTCAGTCATTTCAGTTATGTCCAACTCTTTGGGACCCCATCTGGAATTTTCTTGGCAAAGATACTGGAGTGGTTTGCCATTTTCTTCTCTAGCTCATTTTACAGATAAGGAAATTGAGGCAAACAGGGTTAAGTGACTTACCCACAATCACACAGCTAGTATCTGAGGCTGGATTTGAACTCAGGTTTTCCTGACTGTAGGCCCAGTGCTCTATCCACTGTGTCCCTGCCTGGCTCTTAGTAAGTGCTTAATAAATTCATGTTAACTCTCTGGCTGACTAACCGAGATCAATGATCCTAGGATCTGCTCCAGGCAGAATATCTTCCAGGGAAGACGCAAAGGTTTAGTAAAACATTATCCCTGTCTTCGTGGAGCTGACAATCTAGTGGGCAGTTACACCAATAACTCTAATACAGAATATTATATAACAAGTACATTAGAGCCATGTAACCATAGTCCTCTGAGTTCCAGTGGTTCTGGTATAGAATCACAGACAATCTGATTTGGAAGTAATAGTACTAGAATACACTCAGATCCCAGGTCCCTGCTAGAAACAGGGGGGAGAGGCAGGGTGTTTGAGGGCAGGGAGGAGGGACTCAGATGGGCCACCCAGGTTGATCCAAAGGTAAAGAACTCAAGAAGTCTCAGCCCTGATTTGTCTCTGGCCATCCTGCAGCACAGACTCTTTGCTCCTGCTCTCTCTGCGCTAGACTTGGGCTGGCCACTCCCAACCCTCACTCTAGTCTGCTCTTTGACTTGGTGGACTTTCAGAAGATTCTCATGGCTCAACCACCCTACCTCTTTCAAAATGGCTTGATGTGCACATGCTAATCACACACAGTTGCTGCCCTCTACTCGTGTTTTACAATCTTGTCTTCCCCATTTTGGGAAATAATATGGTGATGATACACATTCCAATGACAGCTGGCATTTATGTAGATCTTTAAGGTTTTGCAAAGGTCTTTATATAATCTCTCTCATTTGATCCTCAATAACATTGTGAAGTAGAGATTATTATTATCCCCATTTAACAGCTAAAGAAACTGAGGCTTAGAGAAGTTGTGACTTGCCCAAGGTCACACAACTAGTAAATCACAGAAGTAGGATTTGAACCCAAGTCTTCTTGATATGCCATCTTTGTGGTGAAAAATCTTGACCCAGGGAAGGTTTTCCATATATAGCTCTCCTCTCCCTGACTGACTGGCCTCTGGAAGGATCCCAGTTAAACCCTTGAATCTCAGGCTCCCATGAAATATACCAACATAGTCTAATCATCTGATAATGATAAATTTCACATTTCTCTAACCAAATACCAAACAATTGACAAAAGACTTCCATCATAACAACCCTCTGAAGTATGTAGTACAGGCACTGCTGTTGTTGTTATTGTTGTGCTTTCATCTAGTTAGGGAGCATCTGGTGAGGAAACTCCCTTAAATTATTCTCCAACTTCCTTCCCAACTTCTCCTCTTAGATTTGCCTGAGGCAATGAAGGGGTAAGTGGCCTGCCCAGGATGAAACAGACAGGATATGCCAGAGCTAGGATTTTCTTCACTTTGGTGAAAGTATGGCTCAGCAGAGTAAGTGATTTATCAGCCCCAATGATTTGTCTCCAAAATCAGTGCTTTTTCTGGTGAACCACAATTACTCCCGTCCAAAGAGCACTTCCTCCAGAGGTCATTTGCTCCTCCAGCTACCTTGTGTTTTGTTCCATTTGCTGGCTCACTTTCAAATTAAAACTTTGAAAAAAGGTGTCTAACGGCTCAGAGATGTTTATTGTGACATGAAATTCACACCTTTGGAAAATTTGCTGTCACTGCACCCAGTTTTCAAATCAGTGACACAGACATGCAAAAGGTTTTGATAAACACTGCTAGAGGTTCTTCTAGGTGTGAATCAAAAATAATGTCTATAAGATGCCAAAAATCTGACTGAAAAGTGAAAAAATCCAATCATCTGGATGTTTTGTATACACAATGCCAAACATCTGGACATTTGGCACCCTGCAGACAAAACTTCCAGGTGCTGGGGTGTTTTGTAGATGCATCCTAAGGATGAACACCAGCCCTTGCAAAACATTTGCAAGAAATGTAGCGATGAGTAGCAACAACGTGATTCTTGGCCAGTTCAGGTTTTCTTGGAGACACTGGAAAATACAACTCCAAATTACATTTTGCAGTGTCTGAGGTATAGATTTTGGTTAATACCATCTTAGCCAAGTTGACAAGCATATTTGCCACGAAGCATTTTTGAAGAAGCATAGGGGATGTTTTCAAGGAGCCCATATGCAAGGGAATCATACAACTATAGCAGGTTCCTTATTATCTGTTACTTATCTACAATTTTTGTCCTTTCCTGAGGTTTAGAGATGAGTAAACTAGCTTGGGTACAATGTTTTTTGATTTGACGGTGCCCTGTCTCTAGAAGGCAGGTGGAGAGATGCACTTTCTATTTTAATATGTGCAATCAGGAAACCACCCCATGGAATACTCCCAGTTCTGTAGTGGGTAATTGTACTATGATTGATTGAAGGTAGTACAATGGACCCTAGGGTTCTGGTTGGGCACTGAAGACAGTTAATTTGGCATTGACTAGATATTGACACAGAGATTTCATTTTAATTCTTTAGTTACCACTGCAACTGTGATGGTACTGGATTCACAGGCAAGCAATGTGAGATCTCAATGTCTGTGTGCTCGTCACAACCCTGTCATAATAATGGCACTTGTGAGGTGTTTGATGACAGATACATTTGCCACTGCTGGCCAGGTAAGTGTTCAAACTCCACACCACCCCCCATAAATTGGTTTCTCTGCTATGAGTTTTCAGCAAACAGAAAGCTAATATCTTTCTTATAATAGCCTGGTACCAACTTCTGCTTTCAATTTTCATCCCTAATCAAATAATATTTATTCAGTGATCTCATGCACATGCTGCTTGATGAGGTTTTGTATGAAAAAGGTTAAATGTGCAGCCCGATTGTGAGAGATGATAGAAAAAAAGTCAGTGGGGGGAGAAGTTAATATATCTTAACGGAAAATGGTTTCCACAGCATCTGCTGCTTCTTTTGTTTTGTTCACTTAGACGCCTAGATTTCACAGAAAGCCACCGGAGAACATAGAAATCCCAGGGGTATTCCACACAGGTTGATTAGTTGATTAGTCAGTCATAAATGCTTAGTCAGTACCCACAGAACTAGATAGCTTTAGGGGGATACATTAGAAATAGTAGATAGGATCTTGTTCCCATGATACTTGCAATGTAAATACAAATCACAATAATAATCCAAACTAAATAGTGCTGTGAATTTCACAGGTGACTTTCTTCACTGCAGCTCTCTGAGATGGGCTTTGCTAGTATTAACTTCATTTTGTAGATATGTTAACTGAAGCTCAGAGAGACTAAGCAACTTGCCTAAGGGATTTGATTTCTGTCAACAAATGTAGGTTTCTTCATTAAACTGCAGGTGTGGGATGAACACTTACAGGAAAACATATACATAGAAAAACATAGACAAGTATGATGCTAATCACAAATTTGCTGAGTCATCTTAAGGCTGTGGTCATGGTTAGTCTGGGCAAGAGAAGACCCAAGGTCTTAAAGTCTTTGAAGGTCTGACATGTAGTAAGGGATAAGAGTTGTTCAGTTTGGCCCCAAAAAGCAAAATCAGGAGAAACAGATAGAAGAGACAAAGAGGCAGATTTAAATTTGGCATCAGATAAAACCTGTTAACAATTAGAGCTAACCCAAATGGGACAGGATGCCTGAAGAAGAGGTGGGCTTTCCCTCCTGGGAGATCTTCTAGAAGAAGCTAGACAATTGCTTGTTAGGGAATGACCATGTTATAGTGGGGATTCCTTTTGTGTATGGGTTTGCTAAGGTCCCTTCCTACTCTCATAGTCTGTAATTTTCTGTTTGCCAATTTTAGCCAGTCCATTTACCACATCTAGTAAGCTCTAGGCCCACAACACTGTACTGTAGCCATCTTGCTGTTTCCCGCCAGATCCACTAGCTCCTATCAAGCATTGTCTTGCTGATTGGTGAGAACTCACCATTGTTAGCTGACCTCATAGCCACCATCCTACACTCTGGCCAACTTCCTGCTGTACTTCCTCCACCTCCCCTTCTGCCTTTCGCTCTGGGAACAGTAATCAAATCCATACTGTCATTTCTGGAAAGGGCATGGCAATCCATTACCCAGTGACACCACTCACTATCTCTGGGATTTCACAGAAACATCTCTCCATAGCCAAGAGCCTCCTATTAGAATGCATTCACTGCTTTTCCTTACTAGAACATAAGCTCCTCAAGGGTGAGAACTCTCTTGCTTTATTTATTTATTTTTTTTGTATTTGCATCGCCAACACTTGGCAAAGAACCTAATACATGTTTTTAGTGCCTAATAAATGTTCTTATTGTATTCATTCATGCATATAATTGAGTGTTGTGGGAATAATCAAATAAATAGAAACAGGCAGGCTGCAATTATACACATGGTAAACTAGTACGTATCATATTTAATTACAGAGCCTATCCGCCAAACAACAGCAACAACAGTAAAAACTGCCTTACAAATTTTGCTTTAAAACATCTAGAATGGGAATGATAAAATGAAAGATTATGGGTTATAGAATTTTCTTTCGCTTTTTTTTAAGCCCACGTAAAAAGATACCACCAATTTTTGATTATTCAGGGCTACTGATATATTATCCTGGCCTTCTACTTCTAGTCCTTCTAATAATGAGAACTGACTAAAAATAGGAAGGCCTAACTTGATAGGTAGTGAGTTTCCTATCATTGGATGTCTTCAAATGGAGTTTGGCTAATGACTTGTCAGAATTCTGCAGAAGGAATTTGTCGTTCACATATGGACTGAGCTCAGTGGCTTTTAAAGTCCTTTCCAACTTCAAAATTTTGTGATTCTATTATTCTCTCTTTTTACCTTTCTTTTGGTCATTTTATTACCTGTGGGAAAGAAAATCTTCAGTGATAAAACACTAATTACACTGTAGTTAAAGGGCTCTTGACTTAGGTTTATAATATCTAAGGCAGAAGATTTTCTGGTGTAGCAAACCAAAATGAAATGACTACAATCAAGCATGAAAATGCTCTATATTCTTATTTATCAGTACAGTCCATCTTTGTCTTCCCTATTTTTAGAAAACTTAGAGTGTGTTTGATGTCCTGTGGTGGCCCAGTTAATCAAACTTATCACATATGAGCCATTCTAAATCATTATTATCATTATCAACAAACATGGATTTAGCACACCTCCTGTGAATGAAACTGTGCTCAGTAACAAATACATGGCATAGCTTGACCTCCATAGGTTTGCAGTCTATTTGGAGAGGGAACATAGCTATACAAAAATAGAAGGTAAATTCCTTGAGGGCAGGTAGTTTCATTTTTGTCTTTGCATCCTCAGCATTTAGCACAGTACTTGGCATATAGTAAGTGCTCAAATGTTTGATAAATGAAAGATTTATACTCAACCACTGCATTTAATGAGAAAATTTCATCTAGAAGTTCCCTAGTTCCATTTGAATTGAACAAAGAACCCTCCCTTCCCTCATTGGTCACTATCCAATCCAGTCCATCAAATATAGGCATTAATTAAATGCCCATTGTGTGCAAAGTACTGTGCTTGATGCTGGGATGCAAAAATAAAGTGAAATTGCATTCTACTGGGGAGAGACAATATCTAACTAGTTAATCCAAAACCCTTGTCATCAAAGATAGGAAGAATCAACAATGGTGACAGTCTAGTGGCATTAGGTGGCATTCAGCTGAAGACATTAATTAGGAGGAAGTATGAGACACCTTAAATGGCCATTTTAAAAAGTTTTCGTTCTACCCAAATGTGACTAGAGTTGTAAGAAAGCACAAAACATAATATCAGAGCCCGGCGGAGTCAAGCCAGGACAAGGGTTTATAGAAAATCTTGTTAAAAAATATTGAACATAGCCCTGGTTGAAGGAGCCTATTTATATACACAGCCTAAGTGGGCAGCATATAGAATCCTCTTGGGGCCCCAGCAAAGGGGACAGGACTGGCAAGACCATTAATCAGGTCTGTTGTAATGCTCAGGATATGAATGAGATGATATGTGTGCTGGCATGGAAAAAAAATTGTGAAAGTTCTAAATTGCTTCCTTGCTCTTGTCCCTATATAGGAGTTGTAACATGTAGAAGGGAGGGAGGAAAAAGAGAAAACTATCAAAAAAGTGTTCCTCATTGAGTATGCTATATCACACAAACACACACCACCCAAAAGGGTTTGTGTGTGTGTGTGTCTGTGTGTATCTAACTTTATGAATTGGAAAAAATCTTTGAAGATAAGACGTTAGGTATTCAGCCTGAAGACGGAAACCACAAAGGTCCTTCAGGGGACACCATAAAGGACTATGGGACCTCAGTCTGGCATATGCTTTTGATTTCTGTCAACAACTGTGGATTTCTTCATTAGACTGCAGAGTCAAGCCCCAAGTTTCATGTGTAACTGATACTTTTTGCTGTTAAGCAACAAAATTTATTTTCTAGTTATTATTTGACATGACCCAATTCCAAGAGCTATTTTAGAAAAAATACCCAATAACATTAGGCTTTGCTCCTTCCTTTGTTATGGTAAGGCATATTTCTGATTTTTCAGTATCCTTTACAAAATGATACAATTAGGATCCAGATCTTTTTTTTTAATTGGCACTACTTCCTGCTCTAAAATTGTTTTGGAGTGTAGAATAATCCTAATATAAAATGGCCTCACTCCACTATGGATTCACTAACACTACAGTTCAAATTAGATTACCCATGTCTCCAGTAACACATAGTGTATCTCTGTCTCTCTCATTATGCTTGTTGACTTGACTATCTCTCCCACCATCCCACCATGGCACTCATGCAATCCACAGATACTAGCATTATATCAGAGGTTTACAACTCTTCCAATTATCATTTCTGTGTCATCATATTATACATGAATAAGCACTATTAAGCTTCTCCAGCTTTCTCTACATGGTTGATTCCCTCCCAAGAAAAAGAATTGTACTCACATTGTTAGCTACGTCTTGTATCTCTTGTTTTATACTCTCAATCACTTTCTAGAAACATTTCAGAAACAAGGTTGCTTATGTTTCTTCACAGATTTTTTTTCTGTCAGATTTATAAATTGAATTTGTTAATTTTGATCAAGATGTAAAGACCAGGTAATGTGTGATTTTTAAAATTCATTTGAATAGCTTATATGACTATTGATCACCTTCAAATAAAGTTTTACCTAATTTATCTCCGGGGAAAAAAAGGGTGCAGCTAGGTGGTGCAGTGAATAGAGCATCGGCCCTGAAGTCAGGAGGTCCTGAGTTCAAATGTGACCTCAGACCAAACACTTGACACTTACTAGCTGTGTGACCCTGGGCAAGTCACTTAACCCCAATTGCGTTAGGGGAAAAAAAAAACTTGACTAAAAACGTCATACTCATAAAAGCCCATGTTCTGGAATCCTCTCCTACCTATTTCATAATAGATAGGAGATGATAATTTCATAATAAGGAAGTTTAATGAGACAGTATTGTGTATATGAAAAGAAAAACCTCTGGATTAGAAGTCAGGGGAATAGGGTTCTAACATCATGTAATGGAGAAAGTTCTGGGATCTGAAGGCAGAGGACATGAATTCAGACCTTAGTCTTGCTGCATACTAACTGTGTGGTCCTGGACAAGTCACTTAACCTTTGGTCTCAGTTAACTCATCAATAAAATGAAGGATTGAATATTA